ACATTAATTGGGAATAGACGACAGCTTTCAGACAGCTTTGGTCGATAAATGAAGGTTGAAGCCATATTTGCTATTCAAACTAATACATATCATAGATTTCTGAAAAGCCAATTTTTTATCTATCTCTTATCGCCGGTAGCCAATATCTTACTTCGGATCGTTCTTGTGGTAACGGCTCCATTAACCACCATACGAAAGAAGTAACCCTACAAACTACCGAAGATTCCCGGAGCCAATGGCCATGATACTGTTATACCGTCGGAACAGTTTCGCCAGTCTCGTGGCGTCGTGTCAAGCTCTGACAAACAGTCCATATGTGTTCAAGGGTTTCTGACATTGCTGGTAACCGATCGCCGCGACCGGGTGATTCAGTTACTACTACATAACAAAAGGCACCTAGTGCTCTATGCCTGCGCTACATACATACATGGGTTAGCTGTTATCACGCCAGCATACGTTTTCCTTCGTTGGCCCTTGTCCAATCCTAAAACAGAACAGCGTAAGGACGAAAGGAAGCGGATGTCCTCTATTAGCCGCACATAGGACAGAAGGGCAGCTTTGACGCAAACAGAAAGAAATACAATTCAAAAAAGTGATTGGGGATTGGCATGTAACATCAAATCGTGCACAGCTGTAATTAACTTGAGTGGGTTTAAGGCTGCTTGACTAGGAACATTGTTACCACTGGAGATTTCTTACTGAAATATTGTAAGAGGTCTTCCGTGACCTAAAATCAATGAATATGAGCATTTCCAGTACACATGTTTGTGATTCTTTTTTCGTACATTCTCTTGAGCAGTTATTCAAGAAGTTGGGAAGTATTGCGGACTACCACCGAGCATATAACCGTGCTCGTACACAGCTGTCATTATTGAATGGAAAAATCGCTCTATTTTTTGGAGCATCCATTAACCACAGCGAGATATCTGACCTCTGTGGTGTGTATAGTGTCTACAGCGAGCAACTAACCTTTCAGAATACTAAAAAGGATGTTCTTTCTACAGCAAAGGAATGCTGCTATTTAATAAGTAAATGTACAGGGCCTATGGAGCAGATTTACTTTCTGGGTTAAAGGCGCAGTTCATGAGAAAATGGTTGCTAAATTCTCCCTCTAAGAATACCCACTGACTCTAAAGGTGACACGAAGGACACTGTCGAGCCCCAAAACTCAACGGCTAGGGCACAAAGGGAGCCCCAGACTTCCCCGCTCCTCGATCGATGTCACGTTAGACGAGTGTCGAAGCGATACAGATTGTAATATTCGCTCTAGGACCCGCACGCAATCCGCTGATCACCGAGTAATGAAGCGTTGTTTTTGTGCTATTCCTTAATTCTCTGTTATTCTTTTTGCTGCTGCAATCCCTTATCTAATTTTCTAATACAAGAGGCTAAAAGAAGTGGGCTATACTTGCTGTTACACAATTTTTCTTTTCTTTTTTTTTNTTTTTTTTTCTTTTGGTAACTTATGCTAATGAGTGAATGAATTTTTGTTTACCGTAGTCAACTATTCATACCAGGACCCACACGAGCTCAATGACACACATTGCCCGTTCTTTTTCATTTTTCTGGTCTCATTTTAGTCCAGCACCCTTTTTAACGATTTTCAGGCCTTTTTTCACTTTGGAAACACAGATTCACGCAGTTTCTCCGCCTTCATCGCACTATTTTCTCTCTGATCTTTCATTTTTCGTCATAATCTGGATTACCCAAAACTATAGTGAACTGTGCCTTTGAGTTAGCATCCTTTGGAAGGCTTGTAAAGTTTGAGATCAAGTTGCCGCGTATCTTCTTTTTGACAATAACGAGATGCGCGAATCGAAAAGGTAAAAACTCAAGTTTTCTTTTTGAATTCCTGCGATTGAGAATGCCATTCTTTAATTACGCAATGAAAATGGCCCGGGATAGATAAGCTTTTCATACATATCCCAAAACGGTGCATTCTCTAGAATTCACTCAATAACCTGTTGAAAATTCAGTTTGAAGGCTCTAGAATCACCAGACCAGTCGGAAGTCTTGATCCCACATCTTCTTCCTTTTTCTTTTTAATTTTTCTTTGTTCTGTGTAAAATGGAAGCTATCCAGCAATAAATTTGTCATTGGTAGCCAGCTGTCAGCTGGGGTGTTTCAACAGGTGCCGGGAACACATTTTGTGTTCTGAGTGTTTTTTGTTAGTACCTATTTGTCAGAGGCCCAAATTGAAATGTTGCTCATATCTATTCTACTATTTTCATGATTCAACAAAACTTCCCAGAATAATTGGAGAGCCACACAAGAGAGCGCGTCTCGGGTCATTCAACGGTTAGGTTATCAAACCGAAGTTTCCACTAATAGATGTTCGACCGGAAACCATGCATGTGCTACGACTACAAACAGGGGCTTCCCCTGTTTGTAGTCGTAGCACACGTAGCTGAATCTCATCGAACCCTGTGCTCAACATTCAGCGATAACTTACGATCCCTCGAGAAAAGTCAGGATAGTTTCGAGAAGGAGATGAAAGCCTCGAGGATGAATAGGATGAGAACCTATCTGAAGTTGTGGAAAAAGAGAAATTACGGCATGTTATCAAGTGGGTCCCATATCAAACTACCAAAGATACCGCAGAAAGGTTTACTGCAGCTCCCTCAGCACCGTTGACTGTCATTTGCACGCCATGGGAAAGTGCAATCGGTATGAGAAATGGGTTCCGCATCAGTAGTGTGATGCGAGGAAGCAGAACGCGCCGCAACTCCCCCGATTCCGCCTCCCAGTTATAAGAGGAGACATTTTTTACTTGGTTGTAACTTGGATGAGAAGTGAATGTTTATCGGTATCGCAATGAAAAACGCAATGGCCGCCACCCGGTGAACCGGCAAGGCCGATTCCGAAATCCCACAGCTACTGGAAGGAAGGAGCATCTATGTTCCGGGCTTCGTGAACCAGTGCCTTGAAGTGCTAGATGCGGGATTTTGTGGAATATACCAGTGCCTTCCGTTACCAAGTAGCAGAGTAAACCTTACTGTGATAAGGATACTCAATATTCTGCACCCAATTAACCCAGTCTGAGATAGTCTGGCCTTTTCATTGTTATCATTTTGTATTGAGACCGAATACCCCCTCAAACGTGAGAGTACGCTCCAGAATCAAACTATTCTGAAACAAAAACCCCTAATATATCCCCTTACCCCACCGTACGACTCCTCGAGCTCTGCTCAGTCGTGTGAGCAAATTTGGCAAGACTCAGCTGCTAACCACATATAACATAAAGCAATTTTACTGTCCTGTTTAATCTTTGAAATTTCTTTAAGAACGGTTCAACCCCCCGCTCACCCACAGAGTATTCGAACCCCCCCCCCCCCCCCCCCCCCCCCCCCCCCCCCCCCCCC